TATATATATATATATATATATATATATATATATATATATATATATATATATATATATATATATATATATATATATATATATATATATATATATATATATATATATATATATATATATATATATATATGCATTTGCTTATCTACATTGCACCACTTCACAAAGATACAAGTATACATACTTATGGTACCACTCACGACATATTCTTCGGGTCACACCACTACCAGATATAAACCAAGATGATTTGGCTCGTTCGCGGCTTACGCGCACACGCCAAACCCTCTCCGACGATGATGAGAGGAGTGTGGCTGATGGGGATGTAAGCGACTTGCTAATTGTATGTAGCTGTGTGGTTTATTATTTGTATGTAGCTATGTGGTTTGTTAATTGTATGTAGCTGTGTGATTTGTTAATTCTTTGTAGCTGTGTGATTTATTCTTTGTATGTAGCTATGTGATTTGTTAATTGTATGTAGCTATGTGGTTTGTTAGTTGTATGTAGCTGTGTGATTTATTGTTTGTATTTATCTTTGTGGTTTGTTACTTGTATGTAGATGTGTGGTTTTTAAATGTATGTAGCTGTGTAGTTTCTTATCTGTATGTAGCTGTGTGGTTTATATTTTGTATGTAGCTATGTGGTTTGCTGGTTGTGTACGATGTATATTTGGGAGTGTCGTATGAAGGTAGTTTGATATAATGCATACGCGCATGAATATTGTATGGATGTCGTTTAAGTATACACATACATCCATGAATGTCGTATGGATATCATGTATGAAGGAGATTTCTTTGATGTTATTTGGGTATATGCACTTCGGCTCTAAACCCTTAAAACCGTAATCGTTGATGTAATATAAGCGTATGTGTTTCGGCTCTAAACGCTTGAAACCCCAAAGACATGTATGAAAGAGATTTCGTTGATGTAATATGAGTGTATGTGCTTCGGCGGCCACGCCTCTCATGGGTGCTTATGCAATGAACAGAGCACTAGTTACATTATCCTGCCTAAGTTGGTTATAAGCCCAGTCCAGGAATTAAGGTTTTGGAGCTTTAGGGTATTAGTGTTGAGGGTTTTGTGATACATCGCATCGAACCCATTAAATGTAACCACTAAGTGTTCGGTACTAATTATATATATAGAAACGTATTCATAGCGAATATACATTGCGCACGGACTATCACTTGTCCATGAACACTTTCAAGGCACCCCAAAGAAACGGTGTATCTAGGGTTTAAAACCCTACCTTTATATCACCTCACGTGTGTATGGTGTCTAATCCACTCGTCCTGCACCGTTGCCATGGCAGCAATTGATTGCGGGCAAGTCGGAGAAGACCACGCACCAAGAAGAACAGGAGACGAAAAATGAACTGCAGTTACAAAACGAACTCGCACGTGAGATAGGTGAACTGGACTCAATGCTCGCATCTGTGGCTAGTGAGATCATGGCTGTTAGAGAGGTGAGAAACAGATGA